CGACGGAGATGGGACTTGGACAACCCAAGTCCCTCTGAGGCTGCCATCGATGCCCACACTGCAGAGGGACAGGGACTATCCTGCCAACTCCTGGCTAGAGGAATGCATACCGGGGAGAAACCCCAGAGCCTGCTTGAGAAGGGCCCCATTTCACGCCCTGGCTATCAGCTCCTGCTTGCCTCGTTGACTGGAGTTTTCATTGTAGAAGAGAAGTTTACCGAGGTTGGAGGGTGGCAAGGGCAATCAGTAAGGTGGGGGTGGAGGGAAGGGGCTTTTCAGACATTAACATCACCAAAAATAGTGTTTTATGCAACAAAGAATCAAGTCTCACTGGTGTATACTACAAAATGTTTGACATTTTCCAAGAGCATGACAAAATAAAAACACAAAGGAGTTTACATTGGATGTTCATCTTGTTCACTAGGTTGGGTTTGGTTCTCCCCCTCCTATTTTAGAACAGTGCAAACAGGTAACACACTTTAAAAATCACCCCTCTGCACCAAGGACAGCATTCCCCCAACCCTGCCAGGCTGGAGGGTCACAGGCAGCAGGCCATCTGCCACGCTGCCCGCGTGCTTTCCCTTCGGAGCTAGACTCAGCAAAAGCACTCCCCAGAGCTGTTGTTTGGTTTTCCCTTTATTGAATTCCTAAGTGCTCCCCAAACCTGTTCTCCACTTGTCTCCTTCTTCGGGGCTGGGATGGGAAGATACAGATAGGGATGGGTTGGGGAAAAACATGGGCAGGACCTAGGAGGCTCTGCTTTGTGTTCCCCACTGACGAGGCTCTGGGTGCTGGAACTGAAACCCCAGCAGCCAGCATCTCTTTTTGGGTAAGGAAATGGTTTCATTAACCGTTTCACAACTAGCACTCAAGCCAGCTAGTCAGATAACCCTGCTCAGCTCTTGCTGTGCATTTCACAGGTCTCAAAATGGGTGAGAACAGGGGATAAACTATTACCTTCACTTTAGGAATGGGGAAGCGAAGTCTAGCGACAAGACTGCTCCACGATGACCCTTGAGGATCACTGACAGAGCTCTGCCCAAAATACAGGTCTCTGACTCCTGAGCTAATGCTCTTTCTCGCTGGGCAAGTCTGCTCCCTCTTGGGCACCGAAACAGCCAAGCCACAGCTATTTTAAAACATGGCTTTGTCTATATGAACTCATGACACAGGATCCACGTAACCACTTAACCTGGGAATAGCTGGCTGTAGCAGGCTCATACTGACCTCCCCGTTGTCTCCAGGTCCCATCGTGGCTTTTCTTAGAAAAGCTAACCCACCTACAAGAGTGCAGCCTCCCTAGCACGGGGACAGTGACAACAGTTTAACATACTGGGCATCAATATAACTTAATCCCAGTACAGAACATGCTATACCAGTAGAAGTCATCTTTGTACCAGCACAACTGTACCCACAAGGAAAGACAGACCAGCACATTAAATAAATCAACCCTTCAATCCAAAGTCTTACCAGTATAATATCATGTGCTGGCCAGACCTATTGCAAGACAGTACAAACAGCAACACTTAAAGAAACATCTTTTCCTCTACATCAAGAGGAATCCCGGATGCCACCAGACTAGAAGGTGACAAACAGCAAGCTATTTGCCAGGCTGCCCGTGCGGTTTCCCTTGGAAAGCCAAACCCTGCTTTGCAAGGGACCTGTGACTGCAGACCCATCTCAGGGACAAGCACTAGCTGCCGTCGGTCAAATAAGCCAGGGCCCAGTTTAATTCATTAAGTGTAATTCATTTTGCATAGGGAGATATAGGCTTTGTCCTCACTTCTTCAGAAGATGAATATAGCCACAGCTTGGCTACTCTGAATGCATCTCAAGCCAGTTCAAAACACATCTGAGTGAAACCAGAGTTGTTGTTTGCCAAGAGGGAAGGAAGGCTGAAGAGCTCTCCCGCCATGGCACAACACTCACTTGTGAAACCTCGCTGCAGAATTCCAGCTAGCATGCAAGTTTTTGGGAGGTCTGGCATTCCAGAGTCCTGGAACCAGCAAGCTACCTCCAGCCCCCAGCTGTGCAAGTGTCCTGGCATCTCCTCTGCAGCTCACTGCCGAGAGCAGGAAGCCGGGCTATATCGGCAGGCTACGCCAGAATGCGGGCGTACACCGCGCGCCTGCCGATATGTGGGGATCTTGCAACTTTAACCACGGAGTCAAGGAGACGCCGGCTGGTTACTGCACCAAAGAGCCTGGCTGGGAGTGACCAGAGCAGGCCAGGCGCAGATACAGGAAGAATCAGGCTGGATGGTCAAGAGCAGGTATTACTCGGAGCTCATACAGCAGGGGACCACGGTCCCACAAAGGTTGGGCGCTTCTGCACTAAACCCCTCATACTCCTAATATACTAGGGCGGGCTGAAGCTGCCATGCATAGACTCTGCTCGGAGGCAGAAACGGGGCTGGCCTCCCTATTCCCAGAGAGACCAAGTGGCAGGGGGGGCTGCAGGCAGCACTGCCAGGGCAGGGGAGGGCGCTCGGGGATGGAGAACCCAGCTTTTCAGGAGCTGCAGTCAGAACCAGCTGAACTGAAACGTAGGACCTGTTGCATGAGGTACTGCCTGTGGGCAAAGGAAGGGACGGCCCCACTCAGCCCCTACAAGTCCAGTAGAGGCTTCTGCTGCATCTCAGCTCCAGAAGTCCCCTGGCTGCCCTGTGGTGGACATGGCTGCCCTTGAATACGACTATTCCTACCACAAGTCCTCCTTCCCCTACCCTAGCTCAGACAGTAAAAGCCCCCAAATGCCCCGAGTCCCCCCTCATTTCCTAGATTTTGTGAGAGCCCCAACACCCTGTTCCCCCCTCCCCATTTTCAAGCTAACTAAAATATTTATATACAAACAACAAAAAAATTGTCATAACAGCAACAAACCACACTTTGGCTTGGGGGGGCGGAAAAAAAGTTAAAAATCAACAATAAAACCAGAAAAAAAAAAAAAGGTTGCCAACAGGCTGGCAGTTTGGTGTCCCCTTTGTCTAGCTATTCCTCCAGAAAATCAATAGCTTCAGGGTCTCTAGCTTAACTAATGGCTTCCCCATCCTTCCCATCCGAGGTGCCTCCTCTCAGCTGCCCACAGGAGAGGCTACGTGTATCATTGGGGAAGAGCAAAAAAAACCGCGTGGTTTTGTGTGGCTGGGCCAGGACACCTCCCCCGGAGCTCTGCTTGCTGACATCGCTTAGTGTTAAATGCAGGAGGTTTCCTATTCTGGTATCAGCGGTGGATGGAGCAGCAGGTGTACGACAGGAGTTGGAAAGGCTCCACCAAACCCAGCAGCCCTTCTGGGGGCAGCGAGCTCACCCCACTACCCATCGAGGGGGTTGAGGCATCCTAATAAAACCAGGCTTCTGCATTTCTCTAACATGCAGTTAGAGACCCTGCCTCTCTGATCACTGGGGTTTACTGGGAGCATCTAAGAGCCAGCAGCTGAGCAGGAAGGTCTGGAGAGCAGCAACTCCCCATCACAGCACAGCTCACGCAGTCATCTAAAAATGCTGACTTTGAAACACAGCAAAATCACTGTATGCGAGAGCAGAAGGGAGATGGATGGTCTTGGGAGTCATGGAGCCCTCCCCTAAATAGTCTCCCCCTTGCTTCCAAATCTTCCAATATGTAGTGTCTATATGGACTCGGCAGACCAGGTGCACAACTTTCTATCAGAGGCTAGGCAAGTCAGACCCAGGGGCTCCAACGCAACTACGTAAGGGCCTGAAATAGCTTGTGGTGGGAAGTTCCTATGAATTCAGAGCTTACACAAAACTGCTTCTTGCCTCCCCTCAAACTCCTGACAAACAAAACTTACTTCAGGATCACGTTTAGATATAAAAGGCTCTCTTCCCCCACACAAACCCACATGCTTGCCCCTTGCCTCAAGCAGCTTATACATGACTTGTTTTTCCTCACTCATGTTATTTGAAACAGATTACAGATTACTTGCAGAAGCACCTAAAGCAGCTGAGGATGAACAGGAGGAGAGACCTTGCACGCTGGATCTGGAGCACCCAAGCATGGCACTGTTGCAGGGTTCTTCAGCTAGCTTTCATTCCTCTGCAAGGCTGCACGCCCCTCACCTCTTGTCCACAACAGATGTATTCTGCGTGATGCTGCATTGCAACTGCCATAATTGAGGAAAGAAGGGCAGGAAAGGGACCGAAAGGGAGAAAGATCTTGAAAAGAAGGAAGGAAAACTAAGATAATTACAGCCACCAGCAATAGACAACAACCAGCTAGACAAAGTTGTGTGTGTGTGGGGAAGATCATCCTCATCAAAAACTCCTTTCAAAGTCTTGTCCCCTATACAGCAGATAACAGCTGAAGTCTTTAAGCAGGTTGAGGAAATCTTCTCTTGCCAAGTCTAAAATACTGACACTGCTGAAACTGTCCCAAACCTGTGCATGTCAGATGGTGATAAAAACGAGGAAAGTCTCTCCATTTCTCCCGTTTCCAAATGTAAATGACTACTTCCCACGAGCATTTAGGTCCCAACCACAGCCAAAGAGTGCTTCCTTCTGCAGACCAGAAACACGGCAGGTGGAGACTTCTCCCTCACATCCTTCTGTCTCACAGGCACCAAGCACCAGAGCCAGGGAAGTAGCTCTGTCTGCGTGTTCCTGATTAATTGCATGATATTGGTTTCTAACAGCTTTCCTAATCGCTAATCGCCTTTTCCGTGATTGGTAGGATAAGCTATGCACCAACATACAGACACAGAAATGAGTTATTTTTACCACAGTTAAAAAAAACCCAGAAACAAAAACAAAACAAAACCAAAAAAAAGCACAATCTTTGGAACAAAAGAATTAAAGGCAGAAATTTAAAGGAAAAAAAAAATACATATTCAAAGAACATAGTGAGGTATAAAAAAGTATTTTCTCTTTTGTTTTTTGTTTTTCCTCCTCGTCTTGCTATAGAGTTCCTCTACTAGTAAATATTGCAATAGCCAGGCCTCATGAACTGGGGGGGGCTGTCCCACTTCGGGGGCTCACGTCACTTCAGTAGGGGGCAAATCGGCTGTAGCCACCTCGGTATAAACTCGCCTGTAGAAATTAAATGAGAGAAGTTGTTAGGAGGTGAACTGTGAAGAAATACTCAGGAGAGCACCCAAATGCTCTCAGAAGAACTAATGGACATGTCCTGGCACTGACCCGCCACCATTAGCACCTCTAAGCAGCAAGAGGAGAACCTTGCCTGCAAAACCAAGGACATGGCTCAGGAGGACATGCTCATGGCCAGCCAGCTGGAGGTGAAGTTTAATTCTATTCTATTTCCTAGACCCTAAACAGTATCCACATGACAAGCTGATGCTCAGACAGAGGTGCTACGCTGCAGATATCTATATTTAGGTGTCTTTTTGTCTGAACACATTTGTATTCCAGCCTTTGCAACAATACAGATACTGCACTGGCTAGAAGCAGATGGGCAAGCATGTGTTTTCAGCAAGCTGCTCCACTCCCCTCTGATGCCAGCATACCTCACTCCTGCCCTTGCGTAACTATGGCTGGCAGGTAGGACACCATATCCTTCCACTAGTGGAAGAGGGAACCAAGTGGAGCAGCTTTGCTGCAAGATGTCACAAGAACAACATATTCCCTTGCTTCCTAGAACTGATTTCTCAACATGCATCATGAGCTACCTTGCATCCCTAACTACTGCTGATTTTTGCTCTATAAATCACCTTGATACAGTTCTACTGATTCACCAACAACGTTCTGGTTCCTGGCATTCATGGTCATTCTTTGACTACCTCCTTTGCACTAGGGTGATACGCAAGACCAAGTGATAACTGGTCTTCTACAACCTGGCTCTTTTCCGAGTGCACATACACAAGCATATAAACGCAGAACAACTGGGAACCCAGTGCTGCAGCTAAGGACCTCCTCAGCCAAAAAAGTATTTCTAGGTGAAGTTTCATTACCTGATACCCATTGAACAGCTGTTCCCCATGCTGGAAATGAGAAACAGCACAAGAAAGAAAAATCCCACTTACCACAGCGCCAACTCCGTAGCTAGCGGCAGGGGCAAGGGCATGGTAAGGATCTGCTGTGTACACCCTGCCATAACTGAAGAGAGGGAGAAAAGATATTAAAAAGAGAGAGAAAAAGAAGAGTCACTTCACAGGGGAAGAGAAACAGCCGTCTGACCACAGGCAATGGAAGAAGCAGCATGCCCTTCTACACACATGTATGCATACATGCACACAGGCAGCCCCTCTTCAAAGAGATCCTATGGGCATGCTGCCATGCATCATATGAGATGGGCAAGAGAACAGCCTGCAAGGAGGAATGTGGCAGAAGCCATGAGTTTGACCTGTAGGAAAGAGGTCAGCACCTTTGAAATGACAGCTACTGCATCCCTTACCACACGTGATGCAGTTTGGGAGGAAAGCGACTGCTGCTGCTAGCGCTACTAGCACAGTAACCGCTACTAAATGGGAAGCAGTGAGGGATTCTCCAGAATGAGAAGGGAGTATAAACTTTAACGGTCTCACATGCACTAGGATTAACACATGGCCTCACTGCACAAATGAGAAATCTTAAGGCAAGCACGCTGATAATGATAATCCTTTGTATCTATACAGAGCTGCACGTTAAAGCATCTTAGAGTACTGTATGAGCGGAGCAATTTTTACTTTATGGACAGGGAGAGAAATGCACCCAGTGATTAAACAACCTGCCCAGAGTCACAGAGCAAGGAGCTGGCAAAGGCGAGCCAGGTCTTTCGACTGAGGCCATAACCACGCTGCCTCCTTTGTGCGGAGAATCATAAGGACAGGGAAGAGGCCAGGATTTGTGCCAGCTCACCTACACCGGAGGGCAATACTGCCCGGGAGCAGAGAGACAAACTGTGCATTCAAGTCTTTAACGTTGGGTTGTGCATGCATGTGTGTGCGTGCGAGTGCAAGTAAGACAAAGAAACAGGGAAAGAAGTAGAAGCACTGCAATGGATCAATGCTCCTTGAATCCCTGAGCACAGCAAGCTAGCCCCCATGGACGCCTCCCCCTTACATACCCATCGCTGTAAGCTGCTGCAGCGGCTGGATTGCAGTAGCAGGCTGTGCATATCTGTAGGCTGCGTATCCACCCTGCAGGAAAGAAGAGAACTGACTTTACAGATACCTGTCCACCCATGCAGAGCATTAAAAAATAAAATTAAAAAAAAGTCACACACATCACAAGGAGAGGAAGTGTTTCAAACTGCATCCGCTCCCATGTCATGTTTATTGCAAGCATTGCCCATTAACTCATGTGTATTCCTTTCCTGAGAAGGACCAGGGAGACTCCATTACCCCATTTAGCAGAAGGAATAAACTAAAGCAAGCCTAAACATGGTTATATCCTCGCAAGAAATTACATTTGGCATGGAGGAACTGAAAACCAGAAGAGAGCTGAAATCTTGCATGCAACCTAATTTTTATGTTCCCTTCCTCTTATGCTGGGGAAATCAGAGGTGGGAACTTTCTATGAGTGTGTATTTTAGAAAGGGAACCGTTCAGAGAAATTCCTGCTTTTCCCTCACCCCCCCAATCTCTTTTTTAAGCCTGGAAAACCCAAACAGCTAGAATTTCATTTGGTCCAGATACATAAAAGTATCAAGAGCCAGAGAATTCAAAAAGCAACCAGGAAAAGATAGTGAGGGAAGACAGTCCCTAGTGGTCTCAGGGCTGGCAACTAGCAAACTGGCACTGATACCAACCAGACCGTTCTCCCCTCCATCCATAGGAGGAAACAGGTTGGGGGAAATTATGCCAGAACAGTCTGTATTGCTGCTGCATTTCTGTCCATGCTACACACCTGTAGTAAAGGTCTTCAAAACGCTTACACTGATAAGAGGTCATTACTGAAAACGTACTTACAGCTGGGTTGGCAAAATGCGAATCCTGACCCAGAGGGAGACCTGCAAGTCTCCTCCTGAAACTTCCACAGGGAGCTCTTGGGCCACAGGAAGACCTGGCTCAGACAGGCAGCTCTGCACACCCTGCAGTAACGAAGGACGGAGGCCAGCCGCTGGCAAAGGCTGCATGGCAGGCAGCAAAGAGGGCTCTGAAGCCCAGGTTAGATCTTTCTTTATCATACACTTCTGAACCCCTTTTTGTTAACTTGGGGTGGGGGACAGGACAGCAATGGTAAATGCACTGTGGCTTTGATTTGCAAGTAACACAATGAGGCATAAATAACATCAGAAAACTCCAGATTGTTTCTGGATTTTTTTTTCCCCCAATTGACATTTCAGTGTTTGAAGGACCAGAAAGCAGACTTACACTCTTCACCTCCAAATCAGCTCAACATACCTCTACCACTACTTCCCTCTAGATCTTTTGCCTTTATGTAACTAAGAGCACAAGATCAGCTCTACTACAGGACTGCGTGTTTGCTCAGGAGCACTCAGTTTTGAGCTAGGTAGCTTTTAAACTAGAAGTAATGATTTTAAATTAATTTTGATTGCTTTTGTGGAGCCTGTGTTAGCCCCACGATGGGTAACATGCTATCCAAAACATGCCTGTGAACCATCTCCTACTCCAGAGGAGAGAGTCTTACAGACTCTTCAATCTTCCAGTTAACAGAAGAAAGAGTACACAAATCTACACCTCTGAAACATCACCACATTGCCTGAAAGAGATCTAACGTTATAGTTTTGCCCTTTTAATCTCATCCAGCTGTTTCAATCCTTGCATTTTGGATTGATGGTTTGGGGAGGTTTAGCTTGCTTTTGGCATGCTGTCATTGCACCATCATTACCCCCACCTCCAAAACACGATGGAGATGAGAGGAATGAGGTGCAGCCTTAAAGCAAATCAAATGTTCATCAACCTCACCAAATTAAGACAAAACCTCATACCAATACCATTGTGGTATTCCCTTATGTTTATGAGCTTCCTGAACTCTTGATGGGGTCTGTCACTTGGGCACGGTGTCTGAGCCACTTTCACCTGGCGCTGCCCTATGCAAGGCGGATGGCTTCAGCACGCATGCAGGTTCTCCCCACTCTGCCCCACACCTGCCAGCCACATTTCAGATCAGAAACCATTTCAAATGTGCCTAGCACATACTCGAAACATGACAGCGAGATGCAGTTTGAAACCATAAAAGGGTTATCATGTAATTCTCTTTTAACTCATGTCTCTCAAAGGAAAATGAAACCAAACCAAACCAAACAAAAAAAAAAAAAAAAAAGAAGAAAAGAAAAGAAGGGTTGGAATCAGGTGTGGGAAGGGGAATGGCGTAACATTTATTAATCAAAATTAAAAACTAAGCATGCTGACATCTGGAGCTAGAACAACCAGCAAAGTCACCACGTTCAGACTCATATTGGCTAGTTCTATCCATCCCAGCATTCTCTTGGGACAGCAGTTCGCCCTAGGCTCTACCACAAGCTCAGTGAAGTACACAGCCTCAAGTACTAGAGCGTGCAGCCACAACAACCTGCTATTACGGAAACAGTCAGTCACCACTGGAGTTAACATTCCAACCTTAACGACTCCCGCAGCCTCCCACCCTCGCCCCCCGAAATGGCTCCCACCCTAGCCCTGTCCCACACCACAATGTTAATAATTATAACAAGCAATAACCCATCTGTTATATCAGAGAAGGGAACAGAGACTCCACTGAGAGATTTAGAGCGGGATGTTAACATTTCTTCAGTCAACTGCACAACAAACAAAAAAAACAGGAGAAATAATTCATTGGAGAAATGAAGTTAAGAAATAGCTGACATGTGTATTGCTTTTTAACCATGCACGGATGCAAAATTGAAGCTACTGTTAATTTAAAAAAAAAAGTCACAGGCGAGAGGTACACACACGGGCAGAACCACTCAGTTCAAAGCAGTCTGCAAATTCTACTTGTGTGTACTTCAAATAAAACCAAAAATGGGGATTATAATGGCCATGGTACGTTCCTGTCATAGGAGCAATGAGTGTGGACAGCTGGGGGAATTTCTGACACAGGGATGTATCCAGCATGACCAGCAGGTCCAAATACACCAGAACAGGGTGAAGGAAAGAGGAGGAAAGTTGCAACTATTATTCATTGTTTCGTAAATGCTTTCACCAAGCTCTGGGACCAGTACAGAGAAAAGGAGACACTGTGCAGGTTGCCTTACGCAGCTGATGTTCCTGTTCTCCATAACCCAGGACCCACCTATAATGCCATCAATGCTTCTAAAGCCCTGCTCAGCTTATCCAATGCACCAGTTATTTTCTCCTTCTATTCCTGTTAACACACGACTAACTGGTATGCAGAGCTCATCCGTAGCATCCGCTACACGGTCCTACTACCCCTAGTGATTTCTGATGCCACTCACTTTGGGTACTCTAGTAAATATAAACTATAACAGAGTAGAGCATCTTCAAACATGAACAATCGTGTTTCCCAATAAAAGAAATAATAATTATTATAAAAAACCCCCAAAACCAACACCCTTGCTAGCTGCACCACACGCCCCCAGTGCCATGGCCAAACTGCAAGAGAAGACACCAATTGAGTGGCACAGGCCCTGAAACTCAGGACAGCCATGCAAATTCCCAGTCCATCTATTTAAGTCAGGTGATTCCACAGGGACAGGTTTACCCATCTAGGTTCAGTTTTTTAAAATTTTTAGCCTCATCCCAAAAGAAATGAGTGTAAATGAGCTTCTAGCAAAGATATTAAGTCAGAGACATTTCTATCAGAAGGACACTTTAAACACTGCCTCGACAAGGGAATAGGGGAACTAAGGAAAAGGCTTATGTGTTTTTACTGGTTATTGGTTTAAGTTACAACCAAGAGGATGGTCTAAATCAAGATTGGTCTTTTCCAGTACAGTCGTTTGGACTGTCTGAGGAGCATGTGAGAGAGATGAACACAGCCATAAGTGTTGCGTATCTTAATTCACGTTCTCTTTCTCTGGATATCCTGCCAGTGTTGCTGGGGCTGTGCTAAACCCCTTTCCCCAGGTGAATGTGTAGTGCTTGAGCGTATAGATCTCAATTATCAAACAATCGTATTTGCTCAGGTGTTCACAAACCCCCAAATTTAAAATGATCCTTTTGTGATGTTATTGTCCTTGGCTCATCAACGAAGCAAGAAAATGTTGTGGGTTTTTTTTTTTTTTAATTCCTTATTTAACATTAGATGATAGCTTTCTCAACATTATCATATATCCTCTGAAATAACACAAACATGGCAAAACAACATATACAGGAAGCTGCATCCCAACTAAAGCAGCATTCCAATTACCGAGCATGTTAATGTAGATAAATGAGCACTAAGACTATACAGTTCAGCTCAAAATAAGTCCATCTTCTCTTCCATTCTTCAAGTCTATATTAGGTATCAATCCAGTGAGAACATGAGGAAATACAAACCTACAGCTTTGTCAGTGCATCATATGGTGTTAAGTATCCCTTTTCTTCTTCCCTTGCTGCCTTAGACAGGCACACAAGGTGTGTTGCTGGCCGTCTTTGCTCCAAAAACCCTTTATGCCACTAAGACACAAGTGTTCCCACATCCCTGGAGGAATGTGTAACTCATGGTACCAGATACGTTTGACCACCTGCGAGGTTTAGGCAGCAAACCCAATTTCAGGATCTTTTATTTGTAGTATCTCAAACATGTCATCTCCACCCCCAAACTGCCCTATAACAGAAGTTGAGAAGCAGAAAAGGCTAGAACTGTTCCCAGTATTTCTGTATTAGAAGGGTGGCATATGTGCACCAGGAATGAGCATGAATGAATTAAAAGAGGTGACAGGACAACTGTGTCCATTGCAGCAGGTGCTTCTACATGGTAATGGGACAAGCATGACCTTGTTAACCCTTCCATTGAATTTACACTATTTTTTTTTTTTTTTAAATTAAATGCCACTCTGTGTGAAATCTGGACACACGCTGCCCTGCTACAGCAGGGGCTTGGATCACACGTGAGTCTGCGCTGCCCTAAAAAAGCCTCTGTTCCCATCTCTAATGTGGTGCTGGAATGGTTAGTATAATTCAGTTTTTTCCACTGCAATCCACAATCTGATCGGTTGGCAGGTCACACTGGCACTCCTACCTGAGGTATTTTAGCGCTAATGATTGGTTCCTGTAAGACTATTCTATAACAGAACACAGGAAGAGCAGTTCAAAAAAACACAGCTGTGGAAAGAAACAATCATACAAACAGCCCACGGCGGGGCTCACCAGCCTTTTCTTTCCAGTGGATGCAAGCACGCTTTTCACAGGCAGGAGCAGTCTTCACATGGGTGGGTTTGTTTGGGTTTCCCCCCCCGCCACCCAGATTGACCCCGTTGTTGTAGAAGAAAGATAACCTTTCTTATGATCCAAAATGAAGCCCTCTGCATCCTGGGGCAGGTTGTTTTATGAATTCAGGTGTCTTGCCAGAGTGGGACGCATCCAACAAGAGATGGAATGCTGCCTTCACAGAAGAAACGACTAAGCAGGATGGTTGCCCCAGGAAAGAAAAAAGGAGTGAGGAAGAGGAGGAGGAGGAAAATGAGAAATCTGTGCATAACATGTATGCGGAAAAAAGCAGCCCAAACCTGGGACACTTCCCTTTCATCTTGCCTTCCACTAACCGCTTCCTGTCAGTTCAGCTCCTTTCTACCCTTCCTTGGACACAACCCTATGGACTCAGAAGACCTAAGGGAACCTCAATTTAATTTTACCCCGAGTCCTAATTGAAGTACCCTCTGCTATCACTTCCACAACCTGGACAAGCCTTTCACAGCAACCAGAGGGACATAAGCACTGCAATGAAAAGCATGACAAATCAGTGGGGCATAGGGACACTTTACTCATTCCACCTGTGCCAAGCAAATCGTTTGGAAAGGTAGCGTCATGTTTGGATTATGGTAACTTTTTCCCGAACCCCATCGGAGGGCTCTGGGTAGCAATAATGTAGGAAAAAGCAGCACCATCTACCTTGATGAGTCCCCTCTTGTATCGTCCTGCTTTCTGACAGTGAGACCAGAGCCACCAACAGCAAAGTCATCAGAAGTCCACCTAAGGGTTCTAACCTGACTTGGGGGCTTGGTTTTGTGTTACGTGATGCTACTGCACTGCAGCACCAAGTGGTTATGGGGATTCTTCTTTACTGGTCTCTGTCCACAAAACATGTTAAATAAGCCTCTCCTCCCCACCTGCAATAGAAGCTCTGAAGGAGCTTTCTCAAAAGAAATAAGAAGTTTTATGGTCAGTCCTCCCATTCAACATGACAGTCTCTTATATGCCATACCCAGAGGGAAGAGGCACTAAGCATTGCTCATTTGCTTGCTTACTTGCCATAGCAAAGTCAGTGGTCTGTAAAGCTGGTGTTATAGGAGTGAGGCAGGAAAACCCAGAACCCTCTGTAGTCCTTGAAACAGTTTTATACAGGAACACTTGACTAGGCAGATCAATTTTTAAAGGACTGCACACATGACAGCATATATAAGAATGAAGAAATGCACCCAATATCTCTATGCTCAAGACAGCATGCCTTCCAACTGCTGTAATTCTGTTGGGAAAAGCGCCTTTACAAGACTTGACAGTCCACACAGGCCAACAAAATCCAAAAGCTAATTCCATCCGTTATCTTGAGTCTAACCGCAGGGTCCTCATTTATAAATGTCAGGAGTAGCACCATCAAAGGAGCAGGGATGTGAAATCCATGCTGATAACTGTGCCACTACCCAATGCAAAACTTCCCCAGCTCCAAAGAGCTATTACCTACAATACCACGAAAGGCAACTCTGTAGAGCTAGGCAGGCCACAAGTTGCGATAGCAGTGGTGGACCTGAACATTTCAGCTTTGAGAAGCATATTCCCACCATAGCTGTTCTGCAACAGCTCTTCATCGGAGAGGAAACTGCTTTTCTCACTGGCCAGTCCCCTCCACCCACGACCCACCTACGTATACACACATGCCCTGGAGATTTGCAATACAGGCTGGCTGGGTAGGACAAAGACAATGACAGGACGAAGTCTCCCATGGTATCAGAGCTAATTCCCAGACAGGAGGAGGTTGCTGACTCTTCTAACTGAACATCTCCACATATTTGTACTTTACAATTCCCCAAAGAGGCACGAGAATCTAGCCTATTTAGGTACCATTTCTACCAGCAAAATAAGATGTCAGTTTTCACTCTAGCATCTCAGTCTCCATTTTTAATCAGTCCCAGTGTCTTCCCCAAAGGGATAATCTCCACATCCCAGTGGCACATGAACATTTCTAAACATATAGCTCACTCAGTTTAGTGTGGGCTGCACAAATCAAACCTAAAAGGGCCCCAAGAGGGGAGAGAAAAGGAAGGGCAGAGGGAGAGAAGGAAAGGGAAGGTTTGAGGCTAAACCAGTCCTGTTATTTTTATATCCAAATTATGTAAATGAGAGAAGTGTTGAGAGAAATTTTAATTCAGTAATCATCTCTCAGGTTGATTAGTAGCAGTGTGCATGTGGGGGACAGGACACCCAGTAACTGACCCTGGCAATGATCAGGAAACCCAAAGACTTAGGTCTTGCACCCAGGGGCAAGCGCAGTGACAGAGAAGCATGCTTGCATTCCTAAATATATAAATATATCCACAAGGAAGAAGAAAATTAAAGTAAATGATATTTAAAAAAAAACAAAAACAAACCAAACCAAACCAAAAGAAGATAAAAAAAAAAAGGCTGGCTTGTCAGGGGTTGGGGACGAGAAGGCTCCGGTGTGTGTACTTACATAGAGGTCAGCACCGTAAAATCCGTCCTGGTAAACCACACTGCAGAAAATCCACACAAAAACAAAAAAACAAAACAAAACAAAAAAACAAAACAAAAAACAAAAAACAAAAGAACAGAAAACACATTCCGGTTATTGAGGACGGCAGCATGCACATGCGTTTTACACAGGCAGGTGATGTATGAATCCACAACCTGGGCTTTTGGCAGGAGCAAATCAGCAAGAGAATGTGTGTGCGCACGCACGCTAGACGGCTCCAAGTCATCTTCCACGGCATGCAAAGGGGGAAGGGGCGGGCAGAGGGGGAGACAGTATGCAAAGGAGAGAGGGAGGGGAACCACCATCTTGTACAATAAAAATAGACTCAAAGATCTGATGTCCTGAAGAAGAGAAACAAGGGTTTAGAAACCTCCACTCTGGTTATTCTCCTGGAATGACTTTAGTTACCCCCTAAACACATGGAAACATTGGCTTCATGAAGTGGGCTTGTGAAATCAAGGAGCCCTGCAGAAGGCATCCCACAGGGGCTGGAGTCACCTATGTCAGAAGCACGTTTCAGAGAGCTGTGTATGATTACGTATTTCGAGCTTCACAGGGCTGCATGACTTTGTTTCTGACATCCATACATCACCTGCTTTTACCCTGGACATTAGACATGCGATAAGATTTGGCTGATCACACAAGCATGCAAAGTATTATTATTCAGCATCTTAAAGAACTGATGCAACACCTCAGGAAAACAAGTCAATCAATTCTGATCAAAGTAAACACAGAGAAATGTAATTAAAAAGAAAAAACCAAAAATACCCACAATGCATTGCTTTCACAAGCAGAGATAATGAGCTAAAAAGGTTAAGCGACTGGTCCAAGGTCTGAGAATTGAAAGGTGCAGTGGGAGTCCCTAGTAGTAATGACCTATTCCGTAGCAGAGAGGAGCAACTGGAAGGGTTTCCATGGGATGGTGTTTTTTCTGCTTTAAGCCATGGTTTTCTTTCTCTCAGAACCTCAGGCAGGAAAACTGTTAAACCAGAGCCTGGGGTTCCCAAAGAGCCACTCTTACCAGAGCATTCGCTAGCATAAGACTATGCAGCTCACTTTGGGGACAGGGGTCGGGGAAGGATGAGGAAGGAAGAGAGGGGATGCCCCCCACCCATCTGAGTTCAGCGTGTGCTTCATACTGTCCTGCTTTGTCCTCTGAATAGCTCAACACAAACTTGCTCAAGGCTTTAAAAAGCACTAGCTCCACCATCTGTGATGTTCATGGATCTGACATGCACGACTTACCAGTAGCATTAAGGAAAAAGAAGGTACAGAACACTACCTTTTCTATTATCTTTTTTCACTTATCAGATGGAATGTGAAATGCTGCCAAGAGCCTGCCACCCTCAGACACCCACCTATTGTAAGGCACACACACAAAAAAAGCCCAGCAGATCTTGCCAAAATTCTGCATGCTATTACTAAAAAATAAAATAAAATTAAAAAAAAAATACTTGTTGCAGTGTTAGCTACTGCTTGAATAATTTAGTCTTACTGTCTTCCCCAGGAAAAGTACACTCCATTCCCAATGGAGCATTGGGAGCAGATATGAAGATAGAGACCCTTGTTAGAGGAAGAGGGGAGCCACTTCAGCAGGGAGAAGCAGGCCATAAGATCATGTTTGTCGAAGCTAAATTTTTAAACAACCACATAACAAAGAATTTGGCTCCTGGGGCAGTGACTTACATTGCTGGGTTCTCTATCTAGGATCAGGAGTGTTTTAGCAGTGATACTCCACCTGCTCCTGCAGGAAAGGCAAACGCATGACAGAGGAAGTGACTTGGTTTATGAACAGGTTAGCAGTTTTAACAGTTATTCCAAACATAATCAGTGGGATGAATATAAGCATTACCACATTGGATCAGGCCACTAATTCCTGTAACTTAGAATCCTGTCAGCAAGCGATGCTAGCATCAGCTCTCCAGAGAAAAACTGCAAGGAACACTAATAACAGGCGAGAGTAAGACTTCCTGGGTCCAGAGAACCAAGCACACGTGCATCCTCCGTCTCTCCTTCAGTTAGGACTTGACTTGACACTGGCTGCCAGGGCTAAAATTTAGCAAGATTTATTTATATGCTAGAATATCCATATTTGTAATTCTTCATGCTAGCAAAAACTGAGAGAATTCCTTCATTTGAGAACCACGGAGACCGTTCTGGTGACACAGACTGACCAGAAGCATAAAGCAGCCCAGCAGCCCATCAAATCTCAGTGGCATCTGCAAAAAGCCCAGTAGCTGAGCTAAAACATACCCATGAGAAAAAGAAATATGCTGGTTTTATAAAGCAGCCATCATACCATTTAGGTGTACCAACAGTTGACTGTGTTGTAAAAGGAACCAAAAACACTCCAAAGTCCTGAAATTCCCTATTGCCTTGTATCTAGTCTGACTTTTTTCCTACTTTTGGCTTTATGTCAGTGAATTCTCTGTATATTTACACTCCTAGACTAAATTATTCTTTATTATAGCAAACCTACTCTTCACATAGGTAGTTCATGACCATGAACAAGCCAGTGCCTAACCTATAGTTTGAGAAACAGAATTGATCAAGCTTATTTAGTTTTGAGAGTTTTCTAGTAGGCAAGTTTTTTTTCAGTCTTATTTGATTCTTACAGCTTTTTGTCTGAAGTGTAATTTGTCAACATTCTTGTTTAGAAAGCATGGCCGCTACAAATCAGGGCAATATTCCACTACAGGTTTTACTTATGCTACATATCCAAGGTTGTAATACCTCCTTACTTCTACTGAATACCACCTTGATTAGAAATTGAAGGTTGTATTTGTATTCTGAGGTCAGGCTCAGGTGACGAGCTAACATCCTCTCCAATGGTCTGAGCAATTGCTTTGTAAGGTATGAATAGCCTTCCCTGGATAAACGTCCATGTCCATATGCAAGTATGTACATTCCATACAGGCATTACTAAATCTTAGTTTGAGTTCTCTAAATAAATGTTAAAACTATTAAGAACAATATGATTTCTTGCACTTTCCTCTGGAGTATCTAGCACTAGACACTGTCAAAACTTATTCTTAATCTGAATGGCCCTCAGGTCTGATCCAGTATGGCAATTCCCACAAGCTTTTATTAACCTACATTCTGTATTTTTTGAATTCTGTTAAGCTCTCAAATGCAGTGATGCTATTAAAGTTTTGTAACTTAAAACTTAACCACCACTGAGGTTTGTGAAAACTGATTCCTTCTACCAGGTTTGAGTTAACCTACAGCTTGCTTTATTGTCTTCTTCCACATTACTCACTATGTCTTGATCACTCGTGTTGCTGACTGATCAACTTTCCACTGGCCAGGAAGAAAGCAACTGATGCAGGGTGAAGTGTCAAGAATGTGTGCCTGCCCCTGACTCCACAGAGGTCAGCAGTGTCCATACGGAGCAGTGTCTGTCCTACAGGTTACTGCAATATGGAACTGAATAGCACATTTTGTATTATTCCATGAGGAATCAAATTCTCTCTACAAAAAAAAAATCTTTTAGACATTCAGACTATGATGACAATAAACACCAGAATTAGTTAATTACATCCCAATGTTTGGGACTAGGGACAGTTCTGGGCCATTTGTGAACCTGCCTTGTTTACTGCTGCCCTGCAAATGTTTACTGGATAGTACACTGCCCATGAGGACATGAAATCAGTCACCAGAGTCAGACAAACTCAACGTAAGTAAACACAGTCATGAGACAGTATTTGGAAGGAATAATCATTGGAGCCTGGCCCATATTCCAAATGGAAGTGAATAGACCATATAAACCTTTTATACGGGACTCAGGCTGGATTTATATCAAAGACAAGCTTAGAGTCCCTCCCCGTACACCACTCATGACAGCCTCTTGTTAGAAATGCTCCAGCCGTTACTCCCCGGGACGAAGAGCACATACCCCCTCCCCGGTGCAAGCATTTCATATCTTGCTAGACGGCAGCAATTAGCTCAGCTTTGCCTCTCTGTTTCACTGTGGAGCACTTCCTAATACAACGGGACTGGGTGATTTTTAGAGCAACAGACAGACAAGTTGCAGGTCAGAGGCTACGGTTACAGGATATAGAATATGAACTAGGAGTGGTGGCAAAAAGAGATGGACGTGAAAACCCGTAAGAAACACTCTGTTTGGAAGGCCAATGTGTTCAGACAAGAGGTTTCATTTAAAGTCTTCCAGTGAATTAAATACAAACATTGCCAGACTTGCCAGAGAGCAAAACTAGACAGATACATGACCACTGCAGCTTGCTTCCTTAAGCTCTACTTTAAGTATCAGACTGGACTCTAAAAAGAAAGGGCCACAGTAGTTCTCACCACTTAATCTGCTACAGAAGGTACTGCAAGCTTATCCAGCATATATCAGGCCAGCTCCTTGCACTGATGTGTGTGGCTTCTACCTCCCCTTTTAATAAAATATTTATAATTTGTTTTCTTCTCTTTTGGGGCTAGTCTAAAGGCAAAAAGGGTCAGTCTACTGTGTTGGAGGATTCATTCCTTCTCCTACTCCTTCCTGAGAACATTGCCTGGAAAATACGGCAAGTAAAATTCCAGAGACAGGCAATATGAATAAAGCATCCTCAAAATCAGAAACAAAAAAAGACAGTTTGGAAGGGATTTGCAGTTTTATCTGTCATTCCATCACACTTAAACAAACAAAACCCCAAAACTCACATACAAACCTAGTTCCCTGTCCTTTTAAAACAGCAGAATACTCTATTGTAACAGCATCTATTCCACTGCATTAGTAGTGAAAAGTCAGAGGGCAAAGAATGCTAAGGCCACACATTCACCATTGCTTCATACAACAGTAAGAAGAACGCTGCACTTTTGTTCTCCCTTTATCCCAAACACTCCCAGCTTTAAATTAATGGACTTGATTAATCTTTGTTTTAAACCTTTTTAAACCGTCTCCAACAAAGAAAGCAAATCCATTGTGGGTAACTGGCTCTTCTGTGTCCTACTGCCAGATGGTGAGGCATGAAGGTAATGGATAATATTCCTCATTCCTGGATATGAAAACGCAAACGGATTGCAAAGAGCAGAACCTTTTCAGAAATTTTAGACCTTCTCTGTGTCCTTCTCAGCAGCACTATAACATATTGGGTCAATGGATGACTAATATCATGTAGACAAATTGAGAAATTTTGAGAAGGAATCCATCAGCACTTTAAGCTGTTGCAAGTACCGAAAATTGTTTCAGTCAAGAACTTAACACGGAAAAATTTAGATTTGCCCCCACTGGATGCCATCATGTGCAGAATGCTCTAGCACTAGCAGTATCCTGACTCTCACCATCCAGACAATTTTAGTTATTTTTTGGTTAACCGATTAGCTATTTAACATGGTTGTGCAGAGCACTCTGCTCTCATGACCAGTGCTTACCCTGGGTAGGCAGGGATGGCTGTGGGAGGTACCGCCCGGACTGCCCCATACACTGTCCTTCCTCGGCCCCTCAGATGGGCTCCCCGAAACGCGGCTGCTGTGGTGGCTGCAGTTGGATAGGGGAAGCCTGGAACTGTAAAGACAGACAAGGTGGAGGGTGAAAAGGATCTGAGCTCCTGCCCAGAGAACAACTGTCTGCTTCAAACAAAGTGACACAATAGCTCCACAGCGGTGGGACATTCTGCATCAATCCTGCAGAGGGGCATGCTTATAACCCAGCAAGCATCCGACACATACTTCCTGCTACACCATGGCCTTTGGGGGGAAGAGGGATTGCAGAGAGGTTTGGCATGCAAGAGGTTAATGCTTTGGCATGCCTCACCCACCACAAACAGGGTACAAATCCCCCCGCCTTTTGACACCACCATGCAGTCTGGTTAGAGTCTGAGAAGCGCAGAGAGTTACTATCAATATAGCAGGCGGCTCTTCCAAAACTGCAGAGGCTCTTTAAAATAATTTGTCAATAGGCCCTTAAAATCAACCAACTTACATCAGTCTCTTCCCTCCTTTCCCCTCCCACTCTTTGCCACCCAATCCTCTGTATGTTCATTTTAAAGCCTGAAAGACAAGATAGCCCATATAACAGCAGCAGAAATTTCCCATAAAGTGCCAGTTTACTGAGAGCCCACCTTCATTTAACAAGCATGACCAATAACTGGCTCCATGTACAGTGGGGCCTGCTTTATTATGCTTTACACTGGAGTAAACTGGCTTGTGATGAAATGATGTAAAACCTCAAAGGCATCTGCAAACACATAATAAACAGATACCGAGAGGGAAGGAGTCCCAGGGCACAAACCCAACCCATCGTGCATCCAGGTGCATGCCACCAGGGGCCCTGCAGACTCGCGGTTTAGCAGCTTGTATAATATGTACTTTAGGGATTTGTCTGTTTGGTTTCTTTGATTTCAAAAGGGGGAGGGGGGCAAGGGAATAGCCTATTCCTCACACACACCCTCCCCTTGTTCTGCAGCCTCCTCATTGCTCAGAAAGACCCATTCACCAGTACAGAAACACACTGCAGATGAACAAGTTACAGCAACTGCACAGTATACTTTAGCTCAAGGTAAACTCATTCCCAGCAAGACCCATCCTTTCAAGTATATATTATACACACTGGAGAGAAGAAGGGTAACAGATCATCGTTAACTCAAGCACAATAACAATATAGGGGCCAACGGGGGTTACTTACTGATTAAAGGAATGTAAGTGTTAATACCCCCCCTTCCTGACAGGGGCACTGCGGCGTCATTGCCCAGCGAGACATCTGCTTGAAAGCTGGACGCTAATTTAATTTTAAAAAGAATAAAAAAAACACAAAAAAACAAAAACATAAAAAGGTTATAAAGAAACAGCAGATTGAGAACATAAACAAACACCACTGCAGTTAAATGGCAGAAATGGAAGTGTCTACTTAAGCTCTACCTGCATATAACTCAGGGCCGTACACCGCTCCAACCACAGGACTCAACTTCCAACCTGAAACAACAAAGACTGCAGTGAATGCCAAAATCTACACCAAGAGAAGGAGCGGGCAGCGTGGGTAGGGGAAACAGTCTCTTGCATGCGCCCCAGCTTCACATGCACAGCTCTTTCCAATTTCTGCTTCGCCTCAATCCCCCTTGGTGTAGATGGAGGCTAACTGCCTTTTTCTAACGTCAAGTTCTAGGTACAGGTCACTGTATTGGAGGGAACAGCAAAACATCAGCTGATCTGCAGCGTGGCAGAGGCACCACTGAGGTAATGCCAACTACCTTATATGCATATTCGCCACAAGCACCGTGCGACCCTGCATTCTCTGCATGAACCTTGCTGACAGCTCCTCCCTACTTTCACCAGGAACGCTGCAGATCCAAAACCTCTCTAAAGCCACCAGCCCAGACTGTCATCCTGGGCCAATCAGTTTATGGCCTTAAATTCTCAAAACACCCTTCTGTCTTATTTGCTAGAGATCTTCTAAAAAGTAACAATGTCTGAATTTCCTCACCAACTGAATCACACGACTATGGTGCAGAAAAGTAATTCAGTCTATTCATCTCACATTTTCTTCTCTCTGTGTTATTTTAGTATTTCCTGTCTTCTTTATGCTGCTTTTCAGGTGAAAGCCTTCCCAGAAAATTGATTTTAATATCATCTGGATAATTGTCCAGAACTGCAAATCGTCAACATAAAACCTACAAGAAAATAGTGCTTAAAGAAGTCATCGCTAGGGTATGAGAAGGAACACATTTCCCAGTCAGATCTAGAAACGTATCTGTCTCCCCCACCCCCTTCTATGAGGGGAGAGAAGCAAGGAGGGTAAAGCTAACATCATGATCTAAGCTGGCTTCCACAAAGCATTCCTTTCAGGAAAGATCTCAGCTGTTCAGCTAGCAATCACACAAATATTTCAATTTAAATACACCCATACCCTTCATCTGTCTTGGGGGCCTGACACATTTACTGCGCTTTAACACCTCTAGCCAGCCTAGAAACCGTATTAACAACTTTGCGAACTCTAGCCCATCGAAACCACCCCTTCATCTGCTGGCAGAGTAGCAACAAGAGATGCAATGCACGCTCCCTCCGCAAGACTGGGCACGCTGCTGCTGCGCTGCCCACCTTGATGGCAAGATACTTGAGTGATGGCAGTGAGGGGACTGGAATCAACCCTCAAATTTGAAAATCACTCATCAGTATGCCTTAAGCCTGGCCTAATACTAAATACTTTTGCATAGCTTTGAAGTTGGCTTTAAATTGCTGGCTGCAAAAGCAAAATAATCCTACCCATTATCAGGGTTTCACAAAGTCATTGCTATGTAAGCCAAGTTTTGTTACCAAATAGTCAACCGCATTTTCTGCACTTGTTTTGAGGACAACGTAACATGGCTGCATTGCCTTTTACTACAAAATCTCCTGTTTCCTTTCAGACATGGAGACTCGGAATCCCAGTCTTTCTGCCTGGTCCCTGTTTTCCCAGTTCTGTAACCCAAAAAAATACCGATTTGCCAAAAGACACGCAACAAGTCAGTAGCAAAGCTAGAAATAAAATTTGCATCTTCTGAGTCTTATACTGTAACCAAAATGGATTCTTACACCAGCAACTACCTATATGCAACTTCCTGCCTTGTTGAAGCTGTTTGGGAACATTTTCATACCAAAAAGAATTTTTCTGCCTGTTTCAGGACAAAGACTCATATTTGAAATCTGTATCGAAGCACCATTCAGTTCTGTCAGGAGAACAACGACTTTTTATGCTATACATGCCTATGCAATAAAATTACTGCACAGACAGAAGAACCAAGATACCCGATGAAACAGGATTCTTCATTACCCAAACAATTTGGTCTTTCTCTGTTCAGGTTTACTGGGAAATGACTGAACACAGGCACAGTCTGTAACAAAAACGCAAGCAAACAAGCAGCGCAATGCCTCTGTTTTCCTGGCTGCTTGGGGACAGCTGTACCTCTACAGTTAGAACCTAAACTGAGATATATCCAACTATGTATCCTAAGTTATTCTTCTGCATTCATATTCAGGTATCTACATCACGGCAATAAGGCTCAGGATTACTGCATATCCCACTGTACAGCATCAGCCTGCAGTAGTGGCAGGCAACCCATCAGTTCTTGGTTTCTTTACCAGCTTGGCCACATTTGGCATCTCACTACCCCTCTCAGTCCCCACTTCTCCATCTGTAAAATGGTATTTCTCCATAAACACTTAAGGGTTATACTGAAGAAGAATGCTATAAATTATGGTTTGTGGGTTTTCGTTGGCTTCTTTTTGTTTTGTGGTTGGTTTTTTTTGTTTGTTTGTGGGTTTTTTTTTTTAATCCTGAGGAGAAGTCATGACTTTTCCCTTTTGTCTTTCTTCAAACCCTTGATCTCATCATTAGTACAAACAGTCTCTCTTACCATTTGCATAAGGTGTGACCATCTTCTTATTGGTCATCACTCGCGCAGTCGCGTTGTTAACCTAAAAGTAAGAAAGGGGAGGGGGAGGAGAGGGAAGGAAGCATAGGATGTTAGGGAAAACGATGGAAAACTCTCAGATATCACACACACACACACTATATTTCTCTGAGAAAAAAAAATTAAACAACTAATTTTACAAGAATGCAATCTTTAAATTAACTTTTAACAGTTGCCATTTAATTATAAAAGTTACAGCTAAACATGGCATTTTAAAATTATGCATTAAACAAAAAGGCCAACGAGTGTAACATGCAGATTCCCTGCCATCCTGCCACCCCTTGGTCTTGTGCTTATTTTCAACTCATCGATCAAAAGGGCAAAACTTTGGCAGTTTTGTCCAGGTTCTGTTCAAGAGGCAGCGACAATTTCTGCAGCCCAGGGCAGGGGAACTGAACCAGGTGATGCACAAGCTGACTTGTTTCTCAAGCTCACCATTGGGATTGGGGCCCAGCAGGTTGCTGACAGGCATACTTTTTAGACAGAAAAAGGTAGCCTGGAGTCCCATCAGCTTTAGATTTGAACTCACAAGGCTTGAGATTTCTGGAATGCCACCAAGCATTTGGATGGTCTATATTCACCAAATTTCCTTCCCATCATTTTCAATTCTTTTTCCAGATTATTTTTTCCTTCTCACAAATCTCCTGGAGCAAAAAGAAGGAATACATAGTAGTAGACCTAGGTCTTTTGGGGGGGTTTATTGTGCCCTCCACCCTCTTTACAGAGCTCTGCATAGTTCCAAGCAGTTTGATTGCTCAAGCAAGTGGGGTGTTACCACAGAGATGGTGCTGATAAAGAAAAGATGGACCAGTTTGGAAGCCAAGTTACTGCAGCCCTGTGTCAGACAGCCTCAAAGTTCTTGCAAGGAGGGTGAAGTCCTTATACAACATCAGTAATTTAATCAAAACCCATGCCAAATAGGAATTGAGGCCAGGGTGAAGAAGAAAAAAGTTACAGAAATAAAAGCTGCCTCAGGCCCTTGAGACTTACGGATGGTGAGCGTACGCGGGGTGGGGAGTCTGGAGCTACATTTACTCTCGTTTCAGCCCCAAAACAATAGAAACATTACACATTTAAAAAGAAAGAATGGGAAACAACAATGATGAGACTGAGAGCATGCAGTTAAACACACACAGATAAAAGAAAGAAAAAAAAACACCACACAATTGATTCAGAGGGTGGGGAGGGGAGGAGGGAGGAGATAGGGTCTCACAGACAATCATTAAGATGGAGCGAGTGCCTGACATCAGCTGCTACAGCAAAGTGCAACACAAGCACTTAAAGGAAAAATTGCCAGAACCGATCAGAAACCACCAGTCAGCAAAGAGACCAACAGCTGCATTTAACCGAGTAAAGAAATAAACTGGGGAGGGAGGGAGAGAGAGAAAGGAAAAGAGAGAAAACAAACAGTAACAGCTACAAACAGGTCTCAGAAAGAGAGCGCAGCAGAAAGAAGGGGCAGGAGAGAGGAGGAAATGGGTGCATTAATAAAAACCAGCCAAACTGGAGTTCAGTAACTCTGAGTAAGATGTGCAAGGGGAAATCACCATGAAGTCAGTAATCAAACAGCTCAGACTGCTACGAAACGATATGTACATCCAAAGTCCAGGCGGCATTACTCAACAGCATTGAAAATAAAAGGGGGAGAAAGGGGAAGGAGGTGGGTGGGGACAACAAGTCAAATCACATTTCGTAGTGTTAATGTGAGATGGCAGATGGATTTTTTCTTTCTTAATTTGTTTTTTCGTAATTTTAAGAAAAATTTTTTAAAAAAAGCTTCTTCTCTAGCGCTTTTGTTTCACTTACCGCCAACTCGTACCATCGCCAGCATTGTGTATAGTTACCATGGAAAGAGT